AGAGTTGGGATACTTTTTTAATGTTCTGTCTGGGGAATAAGTCTTAATTGGCATTGTTGTTCATGATCCACATGTACCTAATTCTACATGAGCTACATTGAATATTTCCCATTCCGCTGCATCTGTAAACAACAAACTAATGCAAAAAATTAACAGAAATTTGCATAGAATCTTAAATACACCACAGAAATACTCAATGGAACTTTGGGATACTTTTTTAATGTTCTGTCTGGGGAATAAGTCTTAATTGGCATTGTTGTTCATGATCCACATGTACCTAATTCTACATGAGCTACATTGAATATTTCCCATTCCGCTGCATCTGTAAACAACAAACTAATGCAAAAAATTAACAGAAATTTGCATAGAATCTTAAATACACCACAGAAATACTCAATGGAACTTAGAAAAGCAGAAAAGCAAACTTAATATGGTGAAATGATGTGACTGTAGAAATTAAATAGACCTCACAATGACAAATGGAGAGGTGGACAACTTCCCTGCTGTATTACTTTAGGCTTGTATCTCAAGAGATATAAAATGGGAAGGCTGTGAAACATAGTAAGATTGGTGGCAACTGTCCCGCACTGTATTGAATAAGACATGAGGTCATGAATTCCAGCTACTCATGTGAATAAGGGATACACATGTAGAAAAAGGCATCTCACATCAATAAGGTTCAGAGGATAAGGACCTTAATATAGTAGTTTTTAAAGTACTGGCTTTACTTACTTCAACTTTTAAGTTTTCCTCCTCTCGATGCAACAAGTGCCAAGAATCAATGCTATTTCCAAGTTACAGTTCACTGCACAATTTGTCTACATGGTTACTATTAGCATCTACCTCATAACTTTGCAGAAAGCCTTAGGATACTTGTCGTTACGAAAGGTGCTCTATAAATCCTCCTTTTTCTTTTCTTCATTTCACAGCTGCTAACCTAAGTTAGTTGCTCTTTTTAAAAAATGGACAAAGTAATCAAAAGCACCTCTTAGATGAAGAAAATCTACATAATCTGCACAGTGCGCTATATGGTATTATTACTTATGTTGGAATGGCACTTATAAATGTCTCCAGTGAATGATAAAAGCTCATTCTATAATAGGTGACATTTTAAATCTTGCTAAATTTTTCCTTTTGTAGCTATTAATCTTACACTTTTTGAATAAGGTAAGATTTCACCCAGGCAAAGGGCAGCTTTTTGCCTGTCCAGTCCCGGACTAAAGGACTGAGCCTGTGTTCATGAACTGGAAGGAGTAATCAGACCCCTTCTTTTAGAATGCTCCAGCCTTTATTTTGTTCAGGGTACAAAATCATACATCCTAATGCAAGTACTTGCATCGAGACTCAAACTTCTGATGCTGGAAATGATCCAAGTAGCAAGTGAAGCTATTCATTTCCATCCTTTGTGCAGCACCTGTGAGCCATAGACTTGAACCATATCATCCGTGTTCATCCATTCTAGTTATGTGAACTTGTTAAGCTTTTTATCCTAAAGCTATTTATGATGTAGACAGCTACAGTGAAAGCTTAGTAGGTCAACAATAAATCTCAGTGACAACAGCAGGGCCTATTGTTTCAGAGGAATGCAGTTCTGTGCTTCTCTTTGGGAGACATTCCTAATTAGGTCAAACTCTCTATAGAAGCATTTGTTCTAGAGAATGCAAGACATCCTCCTAACTTAGTTGTAAGTAATACAACGAGGTAGTTCATGAAGTAGGTGTGTTTGAGCCACCAACACCAGCTGACATAATATAATGAAATGTTGATGTCCTCCCATTGGGGATCATATAAAGGAGCAGTAAATTGATACAAAACTTCAAGCAGACTAATTAAAAAACCAGAATAAGGGTACTAGGCCAAGTGTGTACTACAAACTTTTGACATCATAACTATGTAGGTCAGGGGTGCGATGAAGTATGATTTGTGATTGACATGGCAGCAAGCTGCCAGTTTAAGGGACGCTACACTGAAAAAGCTGTTTCTTTGTTGGTAGAGCTTCTTCAGTCCCCTGAAGAACTCCTGAAATCATGGAAGTAGCATGGAGGCTAATTTATTAATAATATTAACATCACAAGAAATTGGCATATGCCACATTTATGAGAGAAAGGAAAAAAAAGCAGGAAAAATACAAAAAAAATGGTTGACTGGATAAGACTAGCCTATAAAAGGAAAAAGAAGCAGGAAAAATACAAAAAAAAATGGTTGACTGGATAAGACTAGCAAAGATGTGTCTGAAGCAAAAGAGCAATTAATACACATATTGTTAGATTCACAATTGATGTATAATAGACTTCAGTGGAGCTAAGCCAATTTATAGCAGCAGAAGGTCTGGGACAAGCTGTGCAATTCATCATTAACCGCAGATATTCTGTTGAAGGCCTAGAAGATTGCCTATTCTTATAGCTATCCTTTATGGAGAGACTGAAAGTAACCTGGGAATCAGACCAGAGAGCCAAATGTAAGTACTAACCAAAACTGCTGAACAAAATAATTCAACCATTTTTTTATTCTAAAGCATTTACATAATAGATGATGTTTGTATCCTATTAGTAACATTTAAGCACACATATTAGACTGGGACAAAGAAGAAAATAGTCTCGTGAATTCAAACATCCTTAATCTGTTAACATTTGTGGTGACCAAGTGGAGGCAGGTAACAAGCTGTTTCCTTTTCTCTATCTTCCCTAAAAAAGCAACTTCAGCAGGTTCATTTGCTTGATTGCTGTATCCTCAACACCTAGCTTTCATCTGTTTGCTTCTGGAGAAAGTAACTCATTTAGGCATGGGACTGTCTCTTCTCTGTTTGTACAGCACGCGCAAAATCCTTTGGCCAATATCATAATATAGCAGAAGTAGGAGAGGAAGAACTTAAAGAATTAACAAAACATACTATTTAAATTGGTCTTTCTAATGCACCTCGAGAGGTCATTGAGTCCAGTCACCTGCCCTCACAGCAAGGCCAAGCACTGTCTAGATCAGGGTTTCCCAACTTATGGGTCAGGATCCAAATATGGGTCGCCATTACATTTCAAAAGGGTCGCCAAGTGTCTCCCCAGATGGCTCTGCTCCCTCTCCTCCCCTCGTTTTGTAGAAACAGAACCATGGGAAACTTGGCCATATCCATGATAAGTGGACATCTAGCTAACTGAAATCATGTCAGACCAGATATTTCCAGACTAGAGAGGTTCAACCTATATTTTTCTATAGTGCATCTCATTTGACATAGCGTATCCTAGTTATACCAGCCTATTTCCTGTTTCATTAAATATTTTGTACAATTACATACTTTCTCTTTTTTTCTTTTTGCCTTTTGTAATGACACAGTCATATTGTGATGGGGTGAGGTCAGAGAAGACTTCTTGGGGGTGCCTTCTGGAGTGCTCACATGACCACTGCCACCCACCTTCCTGCTCCTTGGAGCTTCTCAGCCAAGGTCCTGAGCCAAAATCTCTTCTCCCTCTCTGAGAAGCAGTACAGATACTGAACCTCTTCAGGTCCAAGGAGAGTGCTGTTTTGGGCCCAGCTTCCTGGGATACCACTCCCCAAATGGGATCAAAACCCTCAAATGAATTATTTGGGCAAGCCCCCTTTAGCCATGAAAGGGGTAATGCACACACTGATTGCTCTCCCAGGTAATAACTATTTACACTGGGCTTAATAGAAAATAAAAGTGATTTTATTAAGTACAGGCAGTAGGATTTAAGCGAGAACAGGCAGAGCAAAGTAGATTACAAATCAAAAGCAACAAAAAGGCTTAGCTAATTCTAACTCTAAAATTCTCAGCACAAATTTATTGTAAACTCACCCTAAAACTGTTTCTTTTCCCAAACCAGAGCTGTCCCTCACCTGGGGTCTCTGGTTCACCCTCCTCGAGTGTGTCCAGCCAGCCCTTTGAGTTATGTATCTTTCTTTCCATAAATCCATTTCATAAAGCAAGGGGGGAATGGTGAACCATCACCCATGTATTCCAGATTCCATGTATTTTTATAAAGGGAAGCAGAGGGCCCCAGTGCTTGAAGTTTTTGCTGTGCATTCACTGATACATCTGACTGCATATAATGCAAAAGACTGAGGGAAGTTGGAAGGTCGTATGATCATCATTCCAAATCTTGTTTTTCAATACAGGTTGAACCTCTGAAATCTAGGATCCCTCATCCAGCAACATCTGTGGTCCAGCAGGACCACAGAATGTTACTGGACCAGAAAGCTCCAGTGCCCAGGAGTACGAACTGGCTAGGAGCCCCACCCCAGGGAGTCCTGGCCAGTGAAACCAGCAAGCGCACTCACTTGGGAGCCCTGGCTAAGTGGGACAGTAATGGGGCAGCCAGCAGAAGTGGGGCAGCCGACAAGCCCCATTCCCCGGGATCCTCATCAGAGAGCAGCAATAGCTGGGCAGCTGGCAAGCCCCATCTGTGGGGATTCCCAGTCGTGTGGGGCAGAAGCGGAGCTGCAGCAGCTGGGGAGCTCCATCCTTGGGGAGCCCCAATGGGTCGGAGCCCAGGTCCAAGCTCTGCAGGCTGGAGCTCAGTGGCAGGCTGGAGCGAAGACAGCTGCTGGGAGGAGGAATGTCCTAGGAGGCCAGTGGTAGGGGACTTCTCCTGATCTGGCAAATTCCTTCATTCAGGACAGGTCAGGGGTGTTGGACAAGGGAGGTCCAACCTGTAATGAACTATACTAAATATCAAATTGATATTGTTGTATTTTAGCCTAACAGTACTTTTCTTTCACCGCTGGTCATTTTGAACTGAAAACAATAGCCTATGATTTCAAGCCCAGCTCTACA